CCAACTCCTGACCAGCAGCCAATTTGGCTATTTGGACGGCGAAAGCGGCAGGTAGTAGTAGAGCAGTCGAGAACTTAGTCTCCCTGCTGTTCATTGAAGCCTGAGTATTCCATTGCCATCCAGTCCCTCTCGCGGTGCTGGGGACATGGAGGCAGGCGGTCTATCGCCTTCGAGTTAAAGTTACGAGGACTGACCCACTGTTGCCGAAGGAAGATCCTGACCTAAGTAATGTCGAGTTTAATAAACATCGAGGCCGGACTTTTTTCCGCTGTCTCCTCAGCATTCATCATCCAGATCCAACCGGAGATTCAACTCCCCGGAGTGCCTCTTATCGTATTAGTGGCTCAGTCCCTGCTCTACGTCAGTCTTTTTTCGACGCTGCTGGCCGCTTTGCTTGCTGTTCTCGGAAAACAGTGGTTGATGTACTACTCTGCGGCTGGTGAACGGGGGACCATTGAAGCCCGTGGTCTTGAGCGGCAGCGCAAACTCGACGGCCTGCGCAGATGGAAATTCGACACTGTGATGCAAATGTTTCCACTTCTACTCCAGATTGGACTGTTCCTCTTTTCCGCTGCGCTCTCGATATATCTGTGGCAGATACATGTCTCCCTCGCAATCGTTGTCCTCTGTTTCACATCATTCGGATTTACCTCGTACACTTTCCTGCTAATATCCGCCGCGGTCTCCCCGGATTGCCCATTTCAAACACCTCTTGCACCTCTCCTGGCTCGCATCCTGTCAAATCCACTGTTGATGAAACTTTGGGGAGTGTTGTATCAAGCCTCTGCACAGCCCGGATTCTTCTTTCGGCGCCTTTATTCAGCATGGATCTCCGACACGAATGTCCATCTGCCCAGATACAGGGGGCGCAACCCACTGCAGCATGAGCCCGCTCCACTTTTCACGGTCCCATTCCCCGAGCCTTCTGCGGAAATCACAGCTGTCTCCTGGGTATTGGAGACTTCGACAGATCCTCGAATGCTGGGTATAGCCGCAGACATGGCTATCGATCTGCAATGGCCAAGTGGCGTTACCCTCGGGCCATCCATAAAGAGGTTACGCGAGTCTCTTTTGGCATGCCTTCGTTTCGTCAAGCTACCCGGCTTCGGGGGACCCGGAATCATTCACGTCAGTGCCATCCAGGATGGGATGGCACTTCCTGTTGTTCAGCTCGGACGCGCCTACTGTACCCTCCAGTGTGCCGCCCATAACCCGCAGAAATTAGCTCCGGAACCAGAGTACGTACCATGGTTGTCGGAAACACAGGGGTTCGTCGAGCCGGAGTTGGACAATGTGCTTCAGGTCCTCGCAGGCAAGCCCAAGCTCCTGCTTAACCCGTCTGCATCGCTTGCAACGAACTGGGCTCTGCATGTCATACCATCTCTGCGTTACGCAGACTTGAAGTCCAAGCGAGAGTCCCTCGATATTTTTTTGAAGCATTTCGAAGAGCAAATACCTGATCTGGATGGTTCCGCATTCACAGATTATCTATTTTGTGTCAGCGACTTCCTCTCGCCTGTACACAGTCGTGACATGGCATGGCAAGACAAAAGGTGTGAATTATTCTAGCTCAGTGTATCCTTAGGCTGATCGTCCATCAGCCAATTCCAGTTCGAATTATTTCAACACCTCCTCACCATAATTTCGTCCGAACTCCAAAACAACAAAAGTCGTCAGGAGACCTCTAAGCCCTCCCGGCCTGTGGTCCAGCGCATATCGCTGAAGACCGCTGCCCGTATTGTAACAGTCACGGGTCGACTAGCCAGTAACGTCACAGACCGTATCCGTCGTCCGTCAGAGCGCAATTTTGTTGTATATCAATTCTGCAGCAGTCTTCCCCAGTCGCCTGGCTGGATCGATGTCGTGCTAGCGACGGGTCTTTTTACAGATCGCTGCATCAATGGGAGGCCAGATCCTCGTTTGCGTGATTCCAGCTGGGTATTCAAAGCCTTGGATCTCGTACAAGACGATCATTGGGACAACTCAACTGTGGCCGGCGTTGCTGGCCTTCTGCATGCCCTACTTGTACACGACACGGCTCCAACCAGACGGCACATTTCCCTACTCATTCGTGCTTTGTCGATGTCTGGCGACATTTCCACCAACTCTGCACGCGTTCTGATGCAGGAAAATATTGCAGTTTGGTTCCAGGACGCCGAGCTGCGACCGGTCCTGCAGAAAGCCAACATATGGTCCTCTCTTACACGTGCTGCCCTCGTTCCCGGTAATATGGCCTTGACTGAACGGTATATTCGCACCGGCTACACTCTCGCCTCAATTCCTGACTGGCATGCGTATATACATGGTGAACTCTGCGCCTGGATCACCTTATTCTTTCGCGCAGGGAAGTGGGAACAAGGCGAAGAATACGCTTCAGTTCTCGATGCTGTCTGGGGTCCAGAGGTCGGCGAGTACAGATTCGTCGACCAAGGGGAAAAGGTGTGGGGTCTGTCCTTTGCTGCCCTGACCAACGCATGGCAGAATTTCGACTTCACTGTATCGGGGAACATTCCTAAAGCAACTCCATTGTTACACGGTACTAGCTGGACCGTACTGGGTACGGCATACTACAATACTGGCGACGATAATTGGAAGGCAATGACTTCGAGCTTCAAAGACACCTTCGTCGTGCCCCTTCGCACTGCTCTTATTCAGGCTGCAGCTGCTTCCAGACGAAACATTGCCGCGACTGCTTCAATTGGCCCCAAATTCGGAGACATCCTAGAAGACTTGGCCAGAAAAATGCCCTCGCCGAACGATTTAGTGGAAGAGAACAGAGGTTACTGGGAGGGGTTACGAGGAGAGTTTGATACAATTGTCGGCACGTTGGAGGAATGATTGGAATCCATTCCGTATATTGAATTAGTCTGGGTCGGTTTTTCTGTGCACCGCGCCGCCGTATCCGATTGCTGAAAGCACTATTTATGTAGATGCAGCGTGGAGAAGCGGAGGGATTTACATGTACAGCGGAGAATATCGAGGAGGCGATTGCGAGGGCGTTCGCGTGGAAATAGGAGACACAGATATACCAGAAAAACACTTGAATAAACCAACCAACCATGGTGCTAGGCTGCTCGATACATATCGTCGAATGCCTGGAATTCTGTCAGAAATGGATTCGTCATAATTTCCACCATACTCAACCAGATGCCGTCACGGAACTGGGGCATATTTTTACGCCAGGCGATATGATCGTTCCAGAAGTAAGAATACCATCCGGCGCGTCCCCAGTCGATTATCCCAGATAGGTGGCCGTCGAGAACTTGAATGAGGATATTTTCGGGAACAAAGTCCCCATGGTGGGCGTGAAAAATCGAAGGCGTCTGGCGGTTAGTCTCTCCTAGACAGAATACAAATGTTTGTTCCTCTCATGTTGTAGCGGTGGGTGTCTGTCCATACCGTATAGAGCGCGGAGCTGCCGGAGGATCCAGTTAATGAACGACTCTAGGGTTTTTATCTCCCCGTTGGGATCGTGCCCCGCAGTGGCATGGTGTCTCCAAACTGTGAAGGGCGGCCGAAAAAGCCCATCGGTCCACGAGTGTCCAATTCAGAGAGCTGGAGAAGTATATTCTTGAGTTCCATCGCCAGCTCCGCGCGGTTGGCGGGCTCCGAAGTCGGCAGGAGCTCCATAGCAATGTGCCCGGGCAGCCCGGCAGCTTCTCTTGCGCGATGTAGGTGATTTCAGTGTTTCCATCCTGCAAGATGGCATGAATCTTTGGGACGGGACCTTTGTCCATCGGGCAACGAATAAGTAGGTTACTGTAGTATTTCGACCGAGTGTTCAGGTGACGGGTGACGGTCGTCTGTGAACTGAACACTTGGAGGTCGGTGACGGTGACGATTGGCTTTTCTGGCCCAAATAGGCCAAAAAAAAAACCCAAAAATCGCTCCGGCAATCGCCGGACTGCCTTTTAAGGTAATTTCTGATCCTATTTGTCATCGTGAACACCTTATCTAGTGAACACTTGCGGTGACGGGTGACACCCAGTGATAGGGCTTCGACCCGGCCGTTAAACGGGACGGCCGTCAGAAAAACGGCCGTCACTAGCGACGAAACGGGACCACCCGGCCGTCGCCACAAAAACTCAGACCCGCTGACGGCCGGGTGCCGTCCGGCGACGGGTTGACGGCCGTCGCGACGGGTTCCACGGCTGAGTTTTAGTTTGTGTCAATCTTCGAGTCAAATCAACTTGTCAGCTATTATGGAAGGTATGTGAACATACCATAAGCTTCACTTCGCCATCTAAGCCCTTGAAACTGCGCAGGAGAACCGAAATTGCACACGGCACCAATCGTCGAACAACGCCGAGATGTCCGAGATGTCAATGGATGCAGCGATCACGGCCGAAAAAAGGTTTTTCACTGTCTGATTTGTACAGGGCTTGATTATCTGTGATATGACCTTAACTTGCATGCTATAAGATGAAGTTTTGCGGCTAAAGATACCGGGGACTTCTGATTGACCCGTCAACCCGTCAACGGACGGGTACGGGTATCAGTTGACGGGTCTGACCCGTCCCGTACCCGGCCGTCTCAAAGTGGTGATTTTCTGCTGAACGGACGGGTCCCGTCCCGTCGCGACGGGCCGTCAACCCGTCACAGAGCCGGCCGGGACGAAGCCCTACCCAGTGAACACTTGGTCGGAATACTACAGTACAGGGTGACGTGAAGAAGGGAAGTTGTGGCTATGCTATACAGCCACCAAGCGTCGAACTTGAACTTAAAGTGGACACAATCAAATTCAAGTTGGGTCCACCGGTGCCAGTGCGTGCAGGCGCACACTTCACTTAGGCAAGAGAGCAGTTGTGCGTATTGCAAAGTGATTGGAAACTTGAACAAGGGAAGCAATATACAAGGAATAAAAGGACGCAACATTGCGGCACTAAATCTAGGGATAAATAGAAGCTACTGGCAGGTAACTGAGTTTATGTGCATTGAAAGTCCATATTTTTTAAAAAAGGGCAAAAAGTGAGAAAAAACAACATTCTCTACAACCATAGGTCAGACGCGGGGAGTTGAACCCCGTACTCTCGCTGTCACGCTTGCTCATCGCCACTGTCAAGGGAAAGCGAGCGTGATCCGTACACCACGTCTGAGTTGAGGGTATGGAACAGAGGCGGGGTGGGAGAGAGAGAATTGAACGGTGAGGCGATGTGGATACAAATTAAACGCAGGTCAAAAGAGCTGATGTCAGTTCAACTTCAACAGAGCTGAGGTGACTTCAACGTCATTAGAGTGCGGGAGGGAAAACGGGTAAGAGAAAGAGAATCTGAGCCCTGACACGATGGGAAAAAAACCCTGTTTTGACTGTAACAGGTCAGACGCGGGGAGTCGAACCCCGTACTCTCGCTCTCACCATTGTTGCAAGGAAGGGAATGCAAGCGTGATCCGTACACCACGTCTGAGCTGAGGATATGGAATGTGGGTGGGATAGGTGTCATTGGAAGGTGACCGGTAAATGTGGAAGCAGGAACTGGATGAATCGTTGAAGTAAGCTGATTCAAGTTGAAGCTTTGAAGATGCACACCTACATACATACATTGAAACACAGCGCCAGAAGAAAATAGAGTGGGACGCACTGGATTCTACTCGAAAAGTTGAACGAGGGCAAAAGAAATTGACTATCTATACAGACGCGGGGAGTCGAACCCCGGGCTCCCGCTGTAACGATTATTTCCAACAATCTAAGGAAAAGCGAGCGTGTGCCGTACACCACGTCTGAGCTGAGGAGGGTATGGAACAAGGGCGGGGTAGGAGAGTTCTGTTAAAGGCAAGGCGATGTGGATTCATCTGAATTTCTGGGCGATGTGGATTCAACTCAATTCAAAAGTGGATTCAACTCAATGATGTGGATTCAACTCAATTTTTGAATTGAGTTGAATCCACATCGCCTTGCCTTTAACAGAACTGATGTGAGGCCGACGAAGATGATATACATTGACTGCCGAAAGCGGGCGGAACGGAAGAATCAGAAAGAGAGCCCAAGGGGACAAAAGGTTTTCTCCTCTGAGCCTAGTTCAGACGCGGGGAGTCGAACCCCGGACTCTCGCTGTAACACTTATCACATCCCATAATAAGGGAAAGCGAGCGAGCGTGTGCCGTACCCACGTCTAATTCAAAATGAAGTATGTGGGCTGAGGCAGGAGAGATATTCAGCGAGAGGCGGAGTAGATGGTACAGGCGGGTGTGCAAAAACACTGACCGGAATACCCAGAACGAACACCGTCTTGAGGTACCTAGAACCGCGCATTGAGCTCGGCGCAGAAGTAAGACGGCGCGTGCGTTGTGAGAGCAGAGGGCGTGTGCATCGAGACCGAAGACGGCGCGGGTGGATGGCGGAATTTGTGCGGGCGTGTGTACGGCTGCAGATTCGGAGCCGGGTGCGTGCAGTGCCTGGAGGAGAAGAAGCATTGAAAGCGTGGTTGCAAGAATTTCGGATGTACACAAGTATGGAACTGAATCCACCGAAGTATGCACGCACGCATATTCAGAGCTCCGCGCGGGACGCGACTCTTGCACCGTGCACATCCGAGTTGTTGGTCCAGTTGGCACCGCCTGTCTGCATCCCCGAGCCCTCCGAATCCCTTCCACGCGTCGGGTCTCGGACATGTACACTCTCCATACCTGCGCTTAGCTATTGTTGTCCTCCTGCTCGCCTACAGAGAACAAAAACGACGGAGACGACGGAGAACAAGAAAACAAGAGCACCGCCACCGTCGAAACAATGGGATTCAAACTCCGCTGGGACATCACGTGGGCGTCATTGTTCCCTTTCCGCATCGAATCAAAGAACGCGCTTCTGGAATCTAGTCGCGCGTGTGTGCATCGGATGGACTACGAGAACAACAAGGAGTACAAGGAGGACAATGGGTGCAGGTATAAAGCGCACACGCCGCAGAGGCGATTCATTTTCGACTTTCTTTTGTCTCTTTACGCCCCCCGCACCCACGAATAACCTCCCGCTTAACGTCTGTCTCGTTCCCCGACGCATACGGTGGATAGCGCATAGCTAACAAACTACAAACTCAATAACAAGTAACGAACGAAATTTATTCACGAAGAGATGAGTTCCGCTGGTGCGTGCTTTGACTCGAATTGTGTGGATGGAGGAGAACTAACGGATGGATGTGTGTGCAGTAGCAGGAGCCTCATCCTCACCATCGCACTGGACGTACATCAAGCGCCAGTCGCGCGTCACGGTCGCGCGCAGCCGCAAGCCGACTGTGCCGCTTACGAGCATTGTCGAGGAGGCCGCTGTGGCGTCTGTAGTTGAGGAGCAAGTGTCCGTTGCAGAGAAGTCAGCACCGGCGTGCATCCTCGAGGAGGATTATTTGCCTTCGCATTCGAGTCCTGGGCTCGAGGCGCCGACGAGCGCGTTACCCGATGTACCACCACCCCCGACTCCGACTTCGAAGACCCAACCGCAAACGCGCAGTCGCAGCCGCAGCGTCAAAGCGCGCCGGCGGCTCGGGGTGTCCGACCTCTCCCCGCTCTCCCTTTTTGCCGCCTCTGGGTCCTCTTCTACCTCTACCTCTGCTTTCCCTTCTTCGCCGTCCAGGTCCCCGAGCGGGTCTTTGAGATTCCCTGCATCCCCGACAGGATCCTTCCTCTCCCAATCACCTGTACATACGCCCTCCCGGTCCCCATTCTTCACACCTGTGCTCACCACGGATGCGGACTGGCGCCTCACCCTCGCGGCCGACTCTTCCTCTAACTCTGACTCCAACGACGGATCCGATTCAGAGGAGGAAAATGCCAGAAGGACAAGAACGCGCACGCTCGACTTCCCCCGGCCGCCCACCGTCTCGTTCGACGCGTTCGGGTTCGACTTCGCGCTCGACTCGGACTCGGACGCAGACCCGGATACGGATAGCTCGTATTCGCCTTCCCATTCCTCCTCTGCGCACTCAAATTCACCCTCGAGCGGAAGTGGAAGTGGCAGCTCAGACGGCAGCGCCTCCCCCACCTCAAGCGGCGCCCCCACGACGCCGAGCCCGAGTCCCACTGCGGATACGTACGCCGCCGCAGCAGCGCAATCCCACTCGCCGGCCTTGCATGTGCAGGAGTTGCCGTTCACGAATGCGGGGCGGATAGGCGTGGTCAGGTGTAAGAGCATCAAGCCGCTCACGATCACGAAGCGCGCGGCGTCGCCCATGCCTTCTGTGCCGGTCGCGTCGACGTCGGCTTCAAGCTCGCCTGCTGCGCCTACTCGGGCGCTGCCTGCGTCGCCCGCTCTTGCACCAGTCCTCTTGCCGCCTGTCGGGCAAGAACAGGCACAGGCCGCGGAACCGGCGGCTGATGTGGTCGAAGAAGCCGGCGTCGAGATTGAAGAAGCGCAAGAACACGAAGAGGACGACGCCTCATCTTGGGAAGACGACGACGACTTCTACGCGGCGCATGCCCGCGGGTACATCACGCTCGCGCCGCCGCTGCCTGCGTCCTTCCCCGCGCTGCTGTCGCCCGCTTTGTCGTCTTATGCATCCGCTGCCTCTGCTTCCTCCGCCTGTCACCCCTTCGCTTCCAAGACCGCCAACCGCGAGTCTTCTATCCTTCCCACTGCCCTCAGCCACACCGCGCACCGCGTCTCCCGCAGACTGAGTCGCGCGATGCCGGCGCCGATCGTCACCTCCCCAGCGCACTCACGCTCCGGCTCTTCGACCAGCATCAAGACCATCGGTGGAGGCGGAGTGGTGCCGAACTTCTCGCGGCCCACGTCGCTCGCGCATCGCCGGACTGCCTCATCTTCGTCTACGGTGCAGGTGCTTCCGTCGCCTGTTGTGGAGAGCGAGGAGTCTACAGCGGAGAGGACGGTGGTGGTGGAGGACAGCGTGTCTGTGCAGGAGACGCAGAAGATGGTACAGGAGGAGGAGAAGGTGATGGAGGGGGAGAAAGTAACGTCAAAGAACGCAGGCACCCGCCCGACCACCTCGATGTGTGTGATGAGCGGCGACTACAGCTATGCCGCGGACTATGCTGCGTATGCACCGCTGTTGGTGGAGCCGGGTCGTTGCGATTCTCCTCGTACTTCCACTTCGGACCGAGCTGGTACGTATTCACATTATATTTTGAGCAAAAGACGGGTACTAATAATGCGACGTGTAGATTCGCCGAGCTCGAGCTCCAGCAGGCTCGACGCACTGCTCTCCCCGCCGCCCGCGCCGCGTCCTCTCTCGCCCTTGTCGCCGCTTTCCCGCTCCCCGAGGACGGCGAGCGTCCCGGTGGACGTGGGTGACGAGTGGGAGGACGAGCTCTCGTCGTACTACCACGACGTCCCGCTCTCGCCCCTGATTACGGCCGCGCCCTCTCCACTGCCTCCCACGGACGAAGAGGACGAGGAGTCGCCGATCGAATTCGCGCCGCCGCCGGACGCGATTCCGCGGACGACGTCGCCGCTTCCTTTCAAGGCGGAAGAACGCGCCCCGCGGAATCGGATCGACGCACTCACAGCCGCGATGGCAGCAACTACCGCACCGACGCCGGCGCCGTACACGGGCTGGCACCCGCGCCCCCGCGCGTCGCAGCTGCGGCTCTTGGCTGCTTCTTCTAAGCCCATCACTTCTACCTCTCGCTCGCAGTGTTCTGCAGAGGAGCAGACCCCCGCCACCCCTGCTACACCCTTCACGCCCGCATACACGACGTCCCCGTCTTCCTACTCCCCACACGCGTACTCGCCCACACAGCCCCTCCGCTCGCGCTGGTCCTCCTCCACGCTCTCCTCCGTGCACTCCGCGCGCTCTTCTACAGCGCATGGACATGGGCACGCGCGGAGCCCGAAGACGTTCGCGTTTGCGAGGAGGTATTTCCCGAAGACACGGGTGGGTGCTACTTCTGCTTCGTCGAGTGCGGGTGCGGGGACAAGAGCCTCCTCGAGCGGGAGCGGGACCAGAACGCCGAAACCCCACCCGAAACCGATGGGCTCCGCGACCGTGCTGCGCAACTCGCCGTTCCCGTCCCTCGCGCGGAGCATGTCGCCCACGTCGCCCGCGATGCCGGCGGCATTTCGACGCGGGATGTCGCCCAAGCGCAAGGGCAAGAAGCTCACCGCGGCGGACGTGATGACGCCACATCTTAGTATCGGGGCAGCGGACATGACGGTCGGCCGTCCCCCCGCTGGCGCGTCGGTGCTTGCGATGGCATCGGTGCTGGCGGGGGTGGAGGATCCGTTTGCTTCTCCGACGTCGGTGCGCTCGCCGCAGGCGCAGTGGGCGGCGGCGTACCCCGCGTCGCTCTCGCGGGCGTCGAGCGGCGCGTGGAGCACTGCATCGAGCGGTGATGGGTCCGAGAGCGATACGAGCATCGGGAGCGGGGGCAGCACCCGGAGGAGGAAGCCGATACCTGTGGGGCTGTTCTTGCGGTGATCTATCTCGTTGCGCTTTCTTCTCGACTGCGGTTCCTCCACGACATTTTTGGGCTTTATCTTCACGACGACTTCTTGCATCCATCCATCCATCTCCCTCATCGATATCACCTATCTATCACATCTTCGACGACTCGGACTTCGTCTTGTCTTGCATTCCCTCTTACGCAGCACACATTCACTCATTCATTCATCGCATGCATGTCTCTCATTTCTTTTACGACTCGCACTTCGCTCCTAGCGAGCTCTGCATCTGTATCATACGCACCGGCTAATTCCTGCCTCGCCCACACTCTCTAGTTCCTCCTTCCTCTCATTTCTCCTTATTCTCTCCATTACACGCGCTCATTCTCTCCTTTACGCGA